TGCGACAAGGAAGCTTGCTCTCACCTTTTCTCTTCATACTGGCAATTGACTGGGTCATGAAAAAAACCCACTAGAGGCAAACGTAATGGAATACAATGGATCCCTTGGCAGCAGCTGGACGACTTGGACTTCGCCGATGACCTTGCAATGCTCTCTCACACACATGCTCAGATGCAAGAAAAGACATAGGAACTCAACAGCCTATGAAAGAGTGTTGGCTTACGTATACATCCAGGCAAGTCAGAAGTAGTGAAGCTAGGAAAAGTTTCAAGCCCTGCTGTGACAGTGGAAGACACTCCCCTAGAAGAAGTTGACTCCTTTACCTACCTTGGAAGTGTCATCGATGGTAAAGGTGGAACCGAGGCAAATGTTAAAGCAAGAACCGCCAAGGCAAGGTCAGCATTCAATTAATTATCAAAAGTCTGGAAAGCAAGCAACATCTCACTGCGCACCAAGATTCGACTCTTTAACTCCAACGCCAAGCCTGTGCTTCCCTACGGCTGCGAAACATGGAAGACAGTACTGAATAAAGTCCAGACTTTCATCAACAGATATATCAGGAGTATCCTAAGAATTAAGTGACAGGATAGAATAAAAAATGAAGAGCTGTGGGAAAGGACAGGACAAAAGGATATAGAAGTATAAATAGGACTAAGAAAGTTTCGATGGATAGGGCGCACCTTAAGAAAGCCCAGCGGAAACATCACAAGACAGTCACTGCAGTGGGACCCACAAGGAGCACGAGGCAGGGGTAGGCCACGGGAAACATGGAGGAGATGCGTGGAAAGGGACATGAGAGAGATAAAACTCACTTGGAACGAACTTGGAAGGATGGCTCCGGACAGAGATAAATGGAAGGGGTTTGTTGTATGTGGCCTATACCCTGCCAGGGGTGAAAGGCATTGATGATGATGATGATTTATACCGGATGGTAGAAACTAGATACATGTATTAGATTCTTATTTCAACTGTCAACCAAAGCAGAGGTTCAAACATAAGTTATGCTGGATTTGTCTTTCTTCTTCTTCTTCTTCTTCTTCTTCTTCTTCTTCTTCTTCTTCTTCTTCTTCGGAGTAAACATTGTTGCAGAAACAACATTTTTGGTAGTTCAATTTGATAATTCTTGTTCTCAATTAGCACGGCAAAATGGAAATCTCTGAAATTGTGTTTTTATGTGTGTTTACCAACGTGTGAAAGCAGTCGAAAATGAAGAAGACAAACGAAAAAGCTAATCTAACTACATTTGAAAATAGACGATTTTGTCGGCGGCAAGTGAATTCTTCAAAGGGATGACAGAGGGACAAGGAAAGGTATCTTGCCATCGTCTTTGTACACCCCCTCCCCAAATCAACCCCCTGACCTTTTTTTTTTTTAACAAGACAGCTTTCAAGTCAAGGAATGATTGGATGAGTGAGTGACAATGGATGAGAGTAACGTAGATGGATGGTTTTCTGTTTGTGTGTTTATTTTATCTACCATGAATGGACTTACTGCAATATTCGGATTCCCCGGTATAATCTTCATCGGACTCGCAGTACGGCCCGTTGTTAGCTTAGGATAGCGACATCTGGCTTCTGAATAGAAATAGATGACCGCAGCTGACGGAATATAATGTGCAAACGGACATAGTGGAGCATTCTTGTTGTGGCATTTACAATAGGTGGTAGAAACTAGATAATAGATTCTTTTATTTTTCATATAGAAACCAATGCAGGTCTTTAAAAATAATTTTACAGGATCTCTCTTCTCGTACTTGTTCTCGTTCTTGTTTTTGTTCTTGTTACTTCTTCTTCTTCTTCTTTTTCTTCTTCTTCTTCTTCTTCTTCTTGTGAGTATATGTGTGTTTAGCAATGAAAGTAGTCGAAAATGAGGAGACAAACGAAAAAGCTAATCTAACTACATTTGAAAATAGACGATTTCGTCGGCGGCAAGGGAATTCTACAAAAGGACGACAGAGGGAAGTGGGAAAGGTATCTTCCTATCGTCAGCATACAAGACTCCCCCCCCCCCCAAAAAAAAAAAAAATTATAATTTTTTTTTAAAATCAACCCCCTAACCTTTTTTTTACAACACAAATTTCGAGTCAAGGAATGATTGGATGAGTGAGTAACAATGGGTGAGCGTGACGTAGGTGGTTGGTATTCTGTGTGTGTGTTATTTTATCCGCCAGGAATGAAATTACTGCAATATGGTCCGGTATAACCTTCATCGCACTCGCAGTACGGCCCGTTGTTAAACACAACACATTTACCATGACCACACTGGCCTTCGAAGCCGGCACACAAGTTGTTCCTAGCTGTAGCTGTAGCTGAGAAGAAGAAAGACGGGAGTTGAAGCTTGGAAAAGCAGAGCTTTAAACATATTTTAGGGGCTCTCTTGACCTAGAGGTTAAGGTGTGTTGGTTTCTCAATTATAGGTACCGAATTCGAATCCGGGTAGTGACCGAAAAATTGTCTCCTTTGACCTTCTTTCCTGTTCTCTAGCAATATTTTGTTGTCTGCTTTCGTCTCTTCCTTCTGCCCCCACCCTCACCTCCTTTTTTCCCTCCTCTGGGCTCCTGACTCTTTTTGCAGCCTTTCTACTGCTACTCCTTGGCTCCTTCTTATTGCTGTCTTTCAGCCACTCCCCTGATCTTCTGGTAGGAAAGATCTACACCAAGCCTTCTCGGACCAACTGAAAACGTTTAATGGGTCCCGTGGGCTCATATGACCGTATGCAGTTGCGAGCGCCGTAAAACACTTAACCAAAAACAAAACACCCCCCCCCCCTATATTTTGTGAAGTATCTGTCTACTTCTTCTTCTTCTTCTTCTTAATCTTCTTCTTCTTCTTCTTCTTCCTCTTCTCCTTCTCCTTCTCCTTCTTCTTCTCCTTCTCCTTCTTCTTCTTCAAGACAAGTGTTGTAGTGTTATTTAGGGACACCTGCAATTTCCTCATTTTTTCTCATGGGATTCCACGCAAAAAAAGCAGAATTGCGATAGACAAGTTTGACAAGATGAGAGAGACAGAGACCATGTATGCGATATCAGCACTTAAAAGGTGCCTTATAATTATTCCTTATTCTTCTGAGATCAAAGTTATATTGGGTGAGGCGATTTTCTTTATTATTCATTGACATAATTATAAACAAGATGCCAAGGTTGTTGGCCTTGTTGGAAAAGTATGACATATAATGTGCCATCCATTGTTTCACTTTCTGGTAGGAAAGATCTACACCTAGCCTTCTCGGACAAGGGCAAAAAATCTCGGAGGGCCCATGTGCACTGCAAGTTGCGCATGTCAAAGATCCCTTGGCTGTCTAAAATCGATAAGAGTAGGCTTCGGCCGCCACCCACGCAAAATTCAAAATTTCCTACCAACTGAAAAAGTTTAATTTTTCCCCCTGCTCATATGACCTTATGCAGTTGCGAGCGCCGTAAAACATTTACCAAAAAAAAAGAAGATTGCTTTCCTATTAATTTTTGGCGATGCTCAGAGCATTCTTCAAGATCTCTTGGTGTGCAATGGTTTATGGGTTTTATGCAATTATTATACTGTTTGCCATTGTGCTGTTTTTTCTTTATCCTAAGCTATATTCCTGATTAATTCTGAATTTGTTAAAAACTTTGAAGATTGTTTTAAATAGATTTAAAGTAAATTAAAGCATGCCTATGTTAATATAGCCCATTATAATAATTATTCTTCTAGTAATTATATCATATTTTTCTACTGTATGCTACAACAACGAAGTTGATGATGATGACTTTTTAAAGGAATTTTTCTTACCGCCCAAAGCGACGTGCATGAAACATGCAATGGTGAAGAGAGCCAGCAGGTAAACACGTAGAGCAGCAGACATCTTGACTTTGCAACGGCTATATGACGCAGGAACTACTTGGCAGTTGCAGCCACGATGCCGAATGGAGAACAGAGATTTCAACGGCCCTTTTTATGGCCACCAATGTCCTTGGTGAACTTAGAAAATGCTAATCATACAATACAGATAAAGACACACCCCTCTCCTAAGCAGCTATTGAAAAATAAAACCACACCTTTACTTTTAACAAACCTCCAACCCCACCCCCTAAACAAACAAAACAAAACAAAACCAAAAAAAAAAACCCCAAGAGGTTATAACAAAAAGAGACCCAAAGTACGAAACAAAACGAAACAAAAACGTTCAAGAACCTATGTCACGATGGAAGAAAGAAATCAAAACTAGAACTGAGACCTGGGGAAAAGGCAAAGTCTGAAGA